TGGGTGGGTGGATGGATGGATGGGTGGGTGGGTGGATGGATGGATGGGTGGATGGATGGGTGGATGGGTAGGTGGATGGATAGGAAGGGAAGATATGTTATTTGGGGAATGAATGAGATAGATGAGCTAACAGGTGGATAAACAGATAGCTGTATGGTTAGACAGATGTTCAGAAGGTGGGTGGGAGGATGGGATGTTAGGGTGGATGGACAGGTGTGTGGCTGGAATGCGTGGATTTCACAGTTGAGCTAAGAGGGGTGGGTGAATGGGAAGATGAGATGGGCTAGCTGTCCTCAAAAAGACACGTGGAGGAAAGATGATAGGGACGGCAGGCAAGAAAAACAAACATAGTTGGGAGGGAATACAGGAAGGTGGGTGACAAGTGGGTGTGGTATTTCCTCCCTCGATTCACTTTTCCCCCAGATAACTGCAGAACTGCACCATGTCACTCACTCCCAATGGTCATCTTCAGCCATGTCACCTCCAGATCCTAATGGGAAATTACCCCTTGGGTATCTCCCCCATTTGTTCCCCAAACACCTCAAATTCAGCCCATCCAACATGGAACTCAGACCTCTCTTCCTCTGGTGCTTTTCCAGCAGGAGAGAGGTTGTCATCTTCTGCACATTCCCAACTCAGTAACCTGCCCCCCTCCCCCCCCCGCCCCCCGTGATGCTGAACCTCTTCCTCCTACGCCCCCTGGATCCAATTCCCTGCAGAAGCTTCCACTCCATCCCACCCATCTTCCACCCTGGCTATCATTAGCCACCTCTAGGCACTTGCTTCACTGCTCAGTTCAGACCCTGCAGGGGCAGCACATCATTAAGCTCAGCCACCAGGACCTTCAGGGTAACCGCAGCACAGCTCCATGGCACCCCTCAATGTTGCAGCAACCTCCGACGCCCCTGCCTTCTCTCACATGGTCCCATCCTCAGCCTGGAGCACCCTCCTCTTCCCTTTCTCTGTCCCGACAGAGAACATAAAGGCAACCTGTCCTAGGTCTTTTTTTCCAACCTCAGCAATCTTGTTTGCTTTATGCACCTGTATCCTTGGGTCCACACTTAAAACCCCCTCCCAAGGCTGCTTTGGGCTTAATGTCACGTCTGTGTGTAGGGGGTGGACACTCCAAGCCAGCGCACTGACTCCTGAACCGGAGTACTGACTCCACCATTTTCTAGCTGTGGATGACTTTGGAGTCGACTTCTCTGTGCCTCACTCTCCTCACCTACAAAATGGTAAGAACGGCAGTTACTAAACACCCCCACCTTGCGAGGTTTCTGGGCATTGTCAGAAATAAGTTAACATGTGTAGTGTAATGCTTAATAATGGAAATTGCTTCTGACAGGTGCTTGACAAATACTATCATTTGCTGAACTCTATCCCATCAACCACACTCCCCTTCAGTATAGCAGAAGACGACGAACCACCAGACATTCCCCAACTTCCTCCCCTTTACCATATTATTTTCCTCACACCCATCTGTACTCCTTCCCTTTTGTGTGAGGGGACCCCCTCCTGCTCAAGGTCAGCCCTTTCACCTTGACCTGGCACCTCCCAGGTCTTCCTCCCATCTGAGGTCTCAGATCTAACTTAAAATGTGCTAAGCAAAATGAAACCTGGCAATGCCCGTGTGGTTCATGGACCAAATACCTACAATGCACTGAGTTACATGCCCCCAACCAGTGGGGCATGAGAAGCAGTAACAGCAAACTTGGAGGCTGCTAAGGGTGCAGCAGCTGCAGGAGTGAGTAGCTCCTGGGTGCCAGGCACTGTACTGACACCAGCACGCTGCAGGGGCACGCTGGCCCCTGGCCGCAAGGAGCCTCAGCCCTTTGCAAAAGCTTCCGAGAATAAAACAACCCTGTTCTCCAAATCCAAGAAAGGAAGACAAGTCCTTCTTTAGTTATAACCCTGAGATGGAACAAATAACCATGAGATTAGCCTGAGGCCCACCCTCGCTGGCATTTGGTCTACGACAGCCTTGCAATTTCCAGCTTAGAAAGTCAAGCAGCCAGTGCAACCCTGCTCCAACAGGGAGCCAGCCAGTCCCAGAACCTTCTGCTTCTGGACATGCCCTGACCCCAGGACTCCAGGACCCTCCAAAGATCTGTTCTTGCTGTACTGGAAGAGGCCACTTCTGCGAAGAAGAATGATGAGTTCAGCCTCTTGTTTCAGATATTGAAGAATAACCTCTTTGGCAGATATAACCTGGGTGAGGAATCCCAGGCAAGGGGAAGCAAGCAGAGCCTTTCCAGAGTCATCCTGAAATGGCAGCTGGGAAGTTCCATGGTGTTGTACACTCGGGGCAAGAACAGGGCTCACAGCGTGCACGGCTACCGGGAACACCCCCTGCAGACTGGACCTCCTCCAAGAGTTGTGCTGGTGGCCTCTGGAACCCCCAGACGCCCCAGAGACAAGCGAGGTGAGGCTCAGGGTGGTGGGGAATTAGCCCAAAGCCGCCCAGGCAGCTCCGAACTGGCTGTGACTGCAGGTACCAAAGCAATAGCTGTTCTGTAAAAGCCGCCGCCCCTCCCCTCGGCACAGAGACACAGATCAAAGGCCAAGGATGCACAGCCCCCAGCCCAGTCAGTTGCAGACTCCGCAGGACGCGCCTGGCAGAGATCTGAAGAGGAGCAATCAAAGGCAATATGCTGCTCCCGCCGCCCCCGCCGGGCCCATGAACGCGCCACACAGATGAAACAAGCTCAGCCTGCATCCCGCGCTGCCGAGAGTGCGGTTTCATGCGGAAGCCTCACCCAGAGATTGGCATCAGGACGGCTGGGGGCGGGGGCACAGGCCGCACAGATGGACCGGCCCGGGACGGAGCCCCCTGTCCAGCCCTGACCGATCCTCCCCCGGCCACCTCCCCTCACAGGAGGACAATGGCCGTGTGGCTCCAGGATGAAGCCAGGCCGTCTAGGTGCGAACAGGGAGCTGGCTTTTCAGACGAGGCAACTTTTTCACGAAGTTGCTGTCTCAGCTTCCTCGTGTGGAAAATGGGTATGACTGTCGCTGGTATGCAAATAAGGTCACACAGAAAATGCTTAGGCCACTACCTGGGACAAGCTCCCGCTCATCATGCTGTCTCCACAGAAGGCCTGCCGGGAGGCTGTAACTACCCTTCTTGTGCAGGTGAAAGAACTGAGTCAGCTGCACGTGGATTCCCAAGGGCATGGCCTGATGGCATCGGCCGGTGCTTCTGTTCACGCTATGTGAGCTGGAGTAGAATTTGTACATGAAAATCTTCGTCAGAGTCCAGCCAGGACTGGGTGTCCCCAAGATGATGACCGTCTTGCTTTGTTCCTGAAATGTGAAAGATGAATTTCTCTCCCCAAAACAAACATGCTGCTCCTTTTTGGTGCTCTTGCTTTGGGGTAGAATGCACATTCTCACCATGCCCGCTGAGAAACCCAGTGGTAGGGCTGAGGCCCAGCGAGGTTGGAAGATCTCCCAGAGCCACACAGCCAGAACAGGCTGAGCCAGGGCTGGAGCCCCCGAGACGCTCAGGTCTGCCGCCCCCACCATTTTCAAGTTGTGTGAATCAGAACAGCTGATCACAAGACCAGCAACTGGGGCCTGATCCACCAGGCAGGTGGCCAACCAACCAGAGGAGCTGGAGCGGAGAAAGCCCAGAGCTGTGGCTACCGCAGGACCCTCCTGCCTGCTGCTGATGAGGAATGGCATGGCCGGGCCACTTGCTTAAGTCAGTAACATTCGGAAGTGGAGGAGGACAGCGGTCACTACAGCCCCCACAGGCAAGTGCTGTCTGGCACCTGGCACCTGGCACCCGTGGGAGCCAGGAATCATTGTCCCCACTTAATGGACAAGGAGGCAGAATCCTCCTACCTGGCCGACCACGTCCCTCCTGTGCTGTCCTGGTAAGTGGCCACCAGCTACATGTGGCCTCTGAGCCCCTGGAACATGTCTCGTCCCAACCGAGAACGTTTAAATGAGAGATCCACACGGGTCTCCAAGCCGTAGAACAACCAGAAAAGAATGTAAAATGCCTCAATGTATTCGCAGTGATGGCCGGGAGGACCACATTGTGGATGGGTGGGTTTAAGTGAGATGCATTTTAAAACGGATCTCACTTGTCTCTCTTTACTCTTTTGAAATATGGCCACTGGGGCCTCCCTGGTGGCGCAGCGGGTTAAAGCACAGCACTGAGAAGCTAAAGCCACTTCCGCATGAGTTCGATCCCCGCCTGCCCCGGAGGTGACCACATGGCGTGGCAGACCTCTCCTGACCCGCCTGCTGCTCCCCTCAGCAGTGTGCTTCGTCCATCTGCCTGTTCTGCTCCCCACTCTGTCTCTGGTGAAGCCTCTTGCCACCCCTGAGTCTCTGGCCTGTACCTCAGTTCTGTATGTACAAATAAAATAAATCTTTAAAAATAAATAAATAAATAAATAAATATGGCCACTAGTGCATTTCCAGTTACACATGGGGTTTGCATTATTTCTACTGAACAGAGTTGACCGAGATGCTGTCCCAGGGACCCTTTGCTCCAGAACTCTAGAGACAGAGAAGCCCCCATGTGGTGGACATGGGGGGACGGAGGCCCACAAGGGAGAGTGACTCGTTGGAGGCAAGAGGTGGGTGTAGAGCGGATCACACAGTCCACGAGGCTAACTGGGGCTGCGCGCTGCTCTGGGGGTGCCAGCCAGCCAGGTGAGGATACGGGATTGCTGGCCCACCAAGTCTCAAGCCCCCCGGCAGTCAGGGCAGCTGAAGGCACAGCCCTTCAGCTCCGCAGCCGGGCTTCATCAGAGGCCCAGGAGCACAGGCCGGCGCTCGAGCACAGGGCATCCTCCTCCAAGCCAGCGGCATCAGTCGGCTGCAGTGGCCTCGAGGGCCTGACCGCCCCCTAGGCACGGCATGGCCCCCCAGCAGGCCCGAGCCCCACCACGCCTGGTAACTCACACACCGTCTGCGTTACCGCAGATTTATGGCAAAAATTACCCTCCCTCTCGGCTCCATTTAAAGTCATTTGGAGCTCGCTCCCGTCCTCGATTATAAATCTAATTGCACATTCCAAACAGACAAGCGCTCATTAAGCTTTAATTATGCACATGTTGTTTTCCACAAACATTTTCATTTGGCCGCTGTGAGGGGGATGGCTCCAAGGGGGCTGTGACGCTGCCTGTGGCTGGAAGGAGCTGGGAGAAGTGGGTCAGGGCACGGTCAGAGGGTGACTGTGGGCAGGGCCATCACTTGTGGTGCGGGGCTTCTCTACTCGGCCAGCTTCAGGTGCTGGCCACGGCAATTGTGTGCTCTCAGCTGGTCGCGCCTGGTGCGCCCAGACCGGGTCTAAGCTGGCACCCATGGGCCTCTGTGGGGTGGAAGGGACGACAGGGCCCGTCTCTGCCAGGAGCTGGTTTCTTCAAAGGCTCCGGACTTGGGCCCCGCCACCCTCCACAACTGGCATCATCCACACCCTCACTTGTTCACTCATTTATTCCAATTACTGACTGAGCACATACCTGATCAGGCAGAGGGGGCCAGTGTCTATGTGGTTCTCCCCAGGCCACTCCCCTTCAAGCCCCATCGCCCCTCAGCCCAACTGGGGAAGAGTCCAGACCGTGACTGTAGCACCAGAAGGTTCAGAATGTGCCTCCTGCCCCCGCGGCCGCAGGCTGGCCCGGGACCCCCTCTGCTCTGCCTCCTGCGTGCTCGGCTCCCGCGTCTAGGCCTCTGCCACTCTGGGCTTCCTCCTGAGCCTCCTTCTCTCTCCTTTCTGGCAGAGACTCCCAGGCTGCCCCTCCAGGAAGACGGCCCTGGTTCGCTCTCTGACCAGCCTGGCTCCCCGCTGCAGGGGGCGTCAGCAGCACTTCTCTGACCATAAGCTGCCAGCCACAGGCCCAGGCCTCCGACCCAGCCTGCCTGTTCCTCTCCAAAGTGCCGCCTCCCCCAAGGGCCGAGCGGAGAGGACCTTGGGCTGTGGTGTGGTCCTGACTTAGGCTTCAGCTCTCTGGGCCTCGGCCTCTTTGTTCCACGGAGGGGCCGAGTGGGGGGAACTCTGAGCCCCTTGCAGCTTAGTCCACTGTAAGTCCACGGTTTGTCCCGCGGCTAGACCTTCCTCCTCCCACCCGAGAGAGGCCCTGAAGCCACCAGCTGGGCTTCAAGGGTTCAGCCAGGACCGTCTGATGGTCCCTCTTGGGAGCTCACCTTGGTATCTCTGTGGTGCATAAAGCGGGCCCACCCAGAGGTCAGCAGACCCCAAAGTCACACCTCAAAGGGCTTTTGGAAAAACAAGTGCAATAAATGTGTTTTAAAGTGGACATCAAGGTGCACTGGCACTTGGTGGTGTCTGGCTTCAGGACGGGTCCCTGAGGCAGACTTCAAGACAGCAGGTGGGATGTCTGCAGACATCCCAGGGCAGGGGGCTGGGGGGAGCTGGGCAGGGGGCCAGCTGAACTGCGAGTCCTGGTGCACCCCAGGCAGGCTCAGGGAGGTGTCTGGCAGAGGTGTCCCACATGGGGCGTGGGGGGCGCAGTACCCCCGAGTAGACCAGTCCTGATCCTGGCTGCTCCAGGGGAGGGCGCTGGACACCCGTGGCCAGCGCCCCTCCTCCTAACACAGGCAGCCAGCAGTACCCAGAGGTGGACCCAGCTGGGAGGCGGCAGCAGCCGACACCTGAGGCTGACAGAACAGCTCAGGAGGCCTCTGGGAGACGTTCACCTTTCGTTCACTTTAATTAGCCTGTGTGACACTGACCTCGCGCTATGTGACGTCAGGCGCCCTCGCCATCGATGGACAGGTTTAACTCACATCCTCCTCACAGCAATGTCAGCACTTAAGTTACTTTCAGCCAGGCTCCCATTTCACAGATGAGGAAACTGAGGTTGGGCAAGGAGAAGGAGCTGGCCCCAGCCACGCAGCTCGTAGGTGCTGGGGCCAAGACTCAAAGCCAGGATTCCTGTCCAGAGCCCGGGGCCGGCCGGCACACGGCTCCTGGGGTCTCGGCTGGCACAGAGCCTCTCCCCCACGCTGGGCCTCGAGTCCAGTGCTGCCAGTTCTCGCGCTTGACAATTACCCATCATCCGAGCGGCTGGGAACAAGTCCCAAACTGATTCTTGCCAAAGACAATTAACTAAAAGCCACACGAGTGTGCGAGTGTATGTCGGATGGGTCTGTGGCGTGGGGGGAGCGGGTGTGACTGAGACAATGAGCAGCAGATGATTCGGAAGATATTCTCTCCCCGGCACTACAAAACAAGCCCTCAATCACGCCACAAAAGGCTTGTATTGTTGGAAGGGAAATATGTCAACGACAGTGTTCAATCGTGGGGCGGTTAAGAAAAAAGAAGAAAAGGGAAAAATCTTTTGAAATTGTAATTTGACCTAGAAAGATTTTCTAGGTCACCTGAACTTGGCACTTAGGCGTCTAACCCCAAACCTAACACAAAGGAGGTACCATGTTCACTTCCTTCTGCCAGGGCCAGATAACACAGGAAATGGTACCTGTCAACACTGCTGCTGTGCTCTAAGTGCTGTATTAAAATCAGCCCCAGGACTAGGAGTTGAGAGAAGCCTGGAGCCGGGATTTGGGAGGCCCAGACTCTGCGTAGCTGCCACGCGGCCAGGCCAGGGGGCCTTCCTCTGGTTCTCAGGCTCCTCCACTGCAGGATGGGAGGGAACTGGGGTTTCTGTGTACACCGGGCAGGGGGAGGGGCTCTGCCCTTGCCAGAAGACAGCAAATTGCCCTCCCAGGCATGGCACCTGCCAATGAGTTCTAATTCATCATCCCTATGGAGCCACTAGGTTTTAGATAAATCATGGGGCCTCAGGGTGACAGGACCTCTGAGACGGCTCATTATCCCATTGGGGAAACTGAGGCCAGGGCTGGCAGATGGCCCACACTTGCCAGCAACAGCAGGCTGAGGCTTAGCTCCCCTGCGTGACTGGGCGCCTGAGCCTGTGCCTCCAGAAGAGGTCAGAGTCAGCCCAGTTCCTGTCCAAGCCCAAGAACGTGGAGAGCAACCTCATTTCCCAGGCCCTGAGCTGTGCACTTGATGTGCTCTGCCAGGTGCCAGAATCTGGAGGTTCTGGGGTCACAGAGCCAACCCCAGGGCAGCTCAGGATTC